GGAGCACAGCAAGAGTGAGACAGCTCAGCCCCACCCTCAGGAGCACAGCAAGAGTGAGACAGCTCAGCCCCCAGCCTCAGGAGCACAGCAAGAGTGAGACAGCTCAGCTCCTCTGGCCTGGAGCACAGCAAGAGTGAGACAGCTCAGCCCCACCCTCAGGAGCACAGCAAGAGTGAGACAGCTCAGCTCCTCTGGCCTGGAGCACAGGGCACCGAGCACATCCAGCCCTGGCACTCAAACTGGCAGAAGGAGCAGACATTTTACGCAAATGACGCTGTTGGCCTGCTCTGTGAAACAGACAACGAGCGATCGGCTGGTCGGTCGGTGGACTTACTGGCCAGGCCTTTACCGATGTCCATGGCATACTGGCTGAGGTCAAGGGTCACGGAGGACAGCAGGCTGGAAATCGCTGTTCGGAAAGAGAAGATCACCCTGGTCACACAAAGCAGAGACTACCTTATTAAGACTAGCCTACTTCTTGCTAAACAGTAAACTGCACGCTTATCCACATACAGCAGTGGGACTTCAAGACTTATTGATAAGAGAACCTCCTTGCCAAGTAGAGAAAGTCCTCTCGCCCGAGAAATCCCCTCCACCGCCACAGCTGGAGCAGCCCAGACTGCTGGACCCAGAGCCGCGGTACGAAAACGCAGACAGGGTCCGAAGTGTCGGGTCCCGCGTTCACTGCTCTGCTCGGGCCGCTAGCAGCGGGAGTGCGACCCCTCACCCTCGACCCCTGACCCCTGACCCCTCGCCCGCAACTCACTCTCCATGGCGTTCTCCGGGCTGCGCAGGAGGGACTTCTGCAGGGCGGGCAGCAGCAGCTCTTTGAACTCGGCGTGGCTGACGTGGCGAAGCACGGGGGCGCACCTCTCCTGCAGGCCACAGGGCGACAGCACCCTCCGGTTAGCGGCTTCGCCCCGAGCTTTCGGGTTCTGTCACGCCTCCGACCCCCACCCCACCCCTCCTCCTGGCCGACTCCCCAGCGGCGAATCAAACGCCCGACACTGTGCACGACACAACCTGGTCTCATCTCGGTTCTGGCTCACAGCCCGCCCCAGCCCCCCGCTGAAACGGTCCCCAATTCGACCCGCTTCAGGATGTGCTCACCAGGATGTGGTTCTGAGGCTTGGACTTGCTCATCAGGACCGTCTTCACATAAAGGTCCAGCAGGCCGCTCTGGAGAGAGGACAAGACAGGTTAGCAG